TGCTTTAAAAATAAAAATTTAAAACTTTAGAGCCTGTAAGTACACTCAGTCCTACTTCTTGTTCAGCCAAACAAGTTTATTTACATTTGCAGGAGATAATACTGCCCGCTTCTTGTTTACAATGTCACCTGAAAGTAAAAACAGGCATTTGCATGGCACTTTTGTAGCCGGCATTGCAAGGTATTTACGTGCCAGATGTGCTAAAGATTCATATGTCCCTTCATGCTTCAACCATCCCAAGGAGCATGAGTCCATGCTGATGACGGGTTCTGCTCGATAACAATGCAAAGTAGTGCAGACCAACACATATTCATTTATATTATCTGAGTCAGATGCCACCAGCAGACGATTGATATTCGTTTTTGGTGGTTTGGGTTGTTTAGTTTCTGCATTGGAATGTTGATTGTCCCTCTCAGATTTTGGACAGCACTTCAGATTCTTAAACCTTGGGTCGAGTGCTGTAGCAAGCTTTAGAAATCTCACATTGGTAACTTCTTCGCATTTTGTCAAATCTGCAGTGAAAGTTTTCTTAAAATGAACAACATGTGCTGGGTCATCATCTGAGACTGCAACAACATGAAATATGTGGCAGAATGTGGGTAAAACAGAGGAGGGGACATACAAATCTCCTCCAAGGAGTTCAGTCAGAAATTTAATGAATGAATTGTTTTTTTAAATGAGCGTCATTGGCATGGAAGCATGTCCTCTGGAATGGTGGCCGAAGCATGAAGGGGCATACAAATGTTTAGTATAACTGGCACGTAAATATCTTGCAATGCCAGCTACAAAAGTGCCATGCAAACGCCTGTTCTCACTTTCTGGTGACACTGTAAATACGAAGAGGGCAGCATTATCGCCTGTAAATGTAAACAAATGTGTTAGTCTGAGCAATTGGCTGAACAAGAAGTAGGACTGACTGGACTTGTAGGCTCTGAAGTTTTACATTATTTTATTTTTAAGAGCAGTTATGTAACAAAAAAAATCTACATTTCTAAGTTGCACTTTCACGGCAAAGATTGCACTACAGTACTTGTATGAGGTGAATTGAAAAATACTATTTCTTTTGTTTGTCATTTTTACAGTGCAAATATTTATAAAAAATAATATACACTTTGATTTCAATTACAAAACAAAATACAATAGATTTGAAAATGTAGAAAAACATCCAAAATAATTAATAAATTTCAATTGGTATTCTATTGTTTAACAGGGTGATTAAAACTGTGATTAATCGCAATTAATTTTTTTGAGTTAATCACGTGAGTTAACTGCAATTAATCAACAGCCCTAGAAAATACAAATATATATTTTAAGTGTACTCTGTTTGATTTTCATTTAAAAATATAATTGTTGAGATGTGACAACTAAAATCCTTCCTGTCAGCAGAATCTGTGTGGGATACAGGAAATAGTTTTCAAAATATTCTTTAAATAATGAATTTTGTTCATAATGTAGGGCCCTATTCAGTATGCTCATCTGTTCTAGGATAGCAGGATAGGTCACAGTCTTACAAGGCCTAACAAAGTTCTTTTAGCAGTTCTCAAAGCAAGTCCAATCATCCAAACTTTGTGTTAGCTGGAGGCATTCTGCTACTCCAATATGTCACTGTATTAATTTTATTTCTATATAGATTCTTATATCGATATTATATAATTAAATTGCTGTTTTTAGGAAAGTTATATATTTTTATATCTATATATTTATCTCTCTCTCAATATAGATAGAAAGAGTACCGTATATATTCGTTCATAAGCCAAATATTTTTGGTAAAAAAGTGATGCATCAAAGAGTGGGGGTCGGCTTATAAAAGGGTCTACACCAAAATTTGATGATTTTAAACTCTATAGACTCATTGAATTGAATATCTAATACAGGGATTGGCAACCTTTGGCCCACAGCCCCGCCAGGGACCGGCTTGTTTACCTGCCACGTCCGCAGGTTCGGCTGATCGCGGCTCGCCGCTCCAGGCCAATCGGGATGGCGGGAAGCGGCGGCCAGCACATCCCTCAGCCCGCGCCGCTTCTTGCCGCCCCCATTGGCTTGGAGCAGTGAACCGCGGCCAGTGGGAGCTGAGGGGTTCCATGCCTGCAGACGCTCCAAGTAAACAAAACGTCCCGACTCCCCAGTGGCTTACCCTGATGGGCCAGGAGCCAAAGTTTTCCAAACCCTGAAATATAGGGTCAGCTTATGAAAGAGTCATACAGTTTTTGCTATTTACCTATCCATTTTGGGGGGTTGGCTTATAAAGGAACGGGCTAATGAACAAGTATATATGATAACTTTCCCTAAAAAACATTTATATATTCACAGTTCAAGAACCTGCACCACAATCCCGGTATTTTTATCTCCCCAATAGGTGTTTGAATTTTCTTCCAAGGTGGTATATTCATAGCAGTGTCCAGTATCCAACATACATCATGAAGATTTTAAAATTTTAGTCTTAGGTTAGCATCTTTCACAGTTAACTCTTTCCTGACTATTTTTGATTATTTTTGGTTCCCAGTGATATGCAGTTGCTCTAAAGGATTTGTAATAATTTGCCAAAAATGATTCTAGGTACGAGAACTGGTGTGGTCTACATGTAAATTTTTTTTTTGTTTAAGTTCACGTTCAGATGGATATCAGAGTAGGACCCCCCAGTTTCAGCACTATACCTTTTCAGTTGTAAAAACAGCCAAAAAGTCTTCTAAAGTCTTTTCTTCTCCCACTTCTAACAGTTAAGAAGAGAAAAATCTTTTTCCTGAAACAGATCTTCAGTCTATATTATGTTTTCCAATCCTTTACTTCCTTGGTAAGTTTTGAACCAACTTCTAATACAGGGGTCAGCAACCTTTCAGAAGTGGTGTGCCGAGTCTTCATTTATTCACTCTAAAATAAGGTTTTGCGTACCAGTAATACATTTTAACGTTTTTAGAAGGTCTCTTTGTATAAGTCTATAATATATACCTAAACTACTGTTGTATGTAAAGTAAATTAAGGTTTTTAAAATGTTTAAGAAGCTTCATTTAAAATTAAATATGCAGAGCCCCCCGGACCGGTGGCCAGGACCCGGGCAGCGTGAGTGCCACTGAAAATCAGCTTGCGTGCCTCTGTTCTAATAAATCAGGGGTTTTCCAGAGATGAGGCTTCAATTGTGCTCCTGCCTTTACTCACAAATCTCTATTATTCGCTGTAAGTTATAGGTTGGGTACTCTTAAGATCTTTTGCGGCAAACTGGTACACTAAATGACTTCTAGAATTTCAAGCTGTTATTTTAACAGTACACAGGGCACTGAGTTATGGCGCAAGATCCATCGTTCATTTGTTTACACCAAGTTAATATTTGGTAAATTTTGGTAATTTCAGACTCATTTACCATTACTCATTCTTTTAAAAGATTAAGATTATTTCCTAACCATGTAAACAGAGACTGCTTTAATTAATTAATTCTTTCTATTATGGTGGTGCCTACAGGCCCCAATCACAGCATCCTTATGCTAGTCCTTACAAACAGTGAAAAGACCATCTTTGCTTTAAGAACTTAAGAGTCTGAAGTAATGATAAAACAACAGGTGGATACAAACAAACAAGGGAAGCACGTGTTAACAATGAGGCAATTGTGTGTTTTCATTTTGGCTACATCTACACTTGGAGCTGGGGGTGTGATTTCCAGACACAGCAGATATACTCGTGCTAGTTCTCATCAAGCTAGCACACTAAAAACAGTAGTGTAGTCACAGTAGTACAGACAGCAGCACAGGCTAGCCACGCTAAGTACATACCCACAGGGTCCAGGTAGGTTTGTAGTTGGGGCGACTAACCTGTGCTGCCACTCGCGCTACTGCTACACTACTACTTGATGAAAGCTAGTATGAGTATGTCTATTCAAATTGGGAATCACACCCCAACTCCAAGTGTAGAGACAGCCTCTGTGTAGTTACAATAACTAGTACAATCAGGCCCTGATCCTTGATTGGGACCTCTAAACTATTGCATTACAAAAACACACAGCACCTTGAGACACCGCCTTTCTCTACTCTTGTGCTTTAGGTAAATTTCTATTGGGTTGGCACTGTGAACTGTAGTTCTTAGATTAGAGCCAATAGTATCAATTATTTGTATAATTCAGATCCAAAACTGAATTAGTGGGCCCTTCCACTCTGTCAAAAACACTCTACATTAAAAATAGTGACAGCATGCAGCAGAAACTCATCTTTCACTTCCTGGATTAAATTCATATTATACAAATTGACTGCTCAAAGTGCTTTTGATAAAAGCAATTTGTTCAAGAGTATAAGACTGCTAATTACTGGACTGAAGCAACTGAGCAGTATCTAAGTAATTTTTAAACTGTATTCATTAAGGATAGCCTGATAGGTTTTTGGCTGCCACAAAATTTAAGATCTCTATTGGATTACAGGATTAAAGAAAAATCTCCCTAACACATTGTGTGCGGATTACAGCAGAATTCCATTTAACTCCTTAGTAATTTAGAGGTCAGTATATTTGCACAGGCAAGTTCTGTTAGAAAACGATCTTCCTGGTCATTTCCCACTTTGCTCAGGTCTCCTCTTTCTTGGTCTGCTAGTACTGGTATTGCAACTTGTTTTAAAAACTAGTTCATAGTTTCTCTCAAGAGCCTCTGATGAATATCATTGTCTATAGAGCTGAGTTTAAAAAGTGAACAATACTACTACTCATAAAAAATACTTTGAAAACCCTGCCTCTATAACAGGAAGGCCAATGCTACTGTGCAGCACTACTTGAAAAATACTGTTAGGCACAGAGGTAAGACTTTCTCTTGAATTTTTAACACCATTATACTGAATTATTTCTGATGTCGCATCCTTCATGATAACGAGTGTCTTCACAGAAAAAAACCCAAAAATGTCAAGAATAATTAAACATGGGGCATTAGCCACAGTTGAAAGAATACATCTGTTGTGAAGAACTCCCACCACAGATTTCTGAACGTTTACTGAAAGAACAACCAGTTGTCACTGTACTTTTGTTTTTGTTACCTTTGGAAGTTCCCATTCTGATCGTGATCCATCAGCACTGTAGTAATATGGTCTACCTTGTTCGTCTACATGTTTTATCCACTGTAGAAATAAATGTGATAATAGGAAATTTAATAACCGTGACAGAAAGACTGATATCACAACACATCTTAGATACTTTGCATTCAAGCTTGAAGACAACTTGCAAATAATAAAATTCCATTTACTTCAGAAATGTACCAACTGTGCACCCTTTTCAATTAGGCAAAACTAAAAAGCAATAAGAAAGTAAATTTTATGTGCTCTTTTTCTGTTCCAGGTCACATTAACTCTCAACATCTCCATTATAACTCCCCAGAACGTATAACCCTGTGATGTCACAGCGTTGAGATAAACAGATTTTTTTTAAAGTACAAAAAGAGTACTGCACTCTTTAAAGAGTATACTGCACTCTTTTCAACATGAAAGGGTTAAGTTTAAAAGTCTAAGAACAGAATACAGAAATTTATATAAAAGTCCTGCCACTTATCTGATCAAGCTCCATTAAGTTCCTGGTACGGCTAAGAGGTGAGTTGTAGTAAGGGCCCATTTTAGAGAGATTATTGCACAAAATTATTGTTCTAAACCTTTAATTATTTAGTAAGAGTATTGACAAGTAATTTATTCAGCTCCGGTAACTAATTGTCAAGAGGACAAGCAGTCTACAGACCCAACATCTGTAACAGTGCATGCACACAATTTCACTGAAAAGGAAGAGTTCTTAGGGGCAAAGTTCTTTGTATCAGGCCCTGATCCTAAAACAAGATATACAGGCAGGCCTTTGAAACCAGGCAGAGCCCCTCAGAAAACAGTGGGACTTCTCAGGTACTCTTACAATAAATTCTTTGAGTCAGGAAATGTATTTTACTGTAAAGCATAAAGTAAATTTATAATGCTATACAACATATTATAACAGAGTAACACATTCTGCAGCACCTAGGGACAGCTTAAAGAGAGGAAAAGCTCTGGTAGTGGTGAAATTCTGAAGTTTTTTCTGAAGTAAATTAAATTTATTACTTATTTGCAAGTCAGTTTTGAGAAACTGAAGCATTAAACATGACTCCTTAAAAGTACACTAGCTAAAACTTTCACAAAATTCAAGCCTTTACCAAAATCTACTGTAATTTAAATTCTGCATCTTAAAAACGATTTTAGTATACATTACAACATATTCCAGCAGCATATCCATTTCAGTTAGACGAAATTCATAATTGTTTCAAATAATTATTTTAAAAATAATTAAGAGCAGCGCTAATATGAACACAAACCAAAAAGATTACCAACGGTTTTACAAAATAGGGGTGTTATTCCTATTTTACAAATCAGGAAACAGTGTTATCGTGACTGGCCCAAAGTCAAAGTTAGTCAATGGCAGAAATTAGAACAGAACCCAAGTCTCCTGATACTGCTGTGATCTAGTCACTAGATTTTGCTGCTTCCCAAAGAAGATTTAGCAAGGTTATAAAAAGCAAAAGCAACTATATTTTCAGCAGGAAACAGACCCAGGGAGAGTACTATATTATCAACCCTACACAGCACCATCAAAAGAAGTGTTTCTGAAAGACAGAAAGAAGAACATTAGAATGGTAAGGAATACGTTCCTATAACATCACAAAGAGGACAGAAATATAAAGAATTGTGCAATACACATTTTTGTGTAAATTGGAGCTGATGCCCCAAATCTCTCACTGAATTAGCATTAAGAAAATTATCCCCACGGAATATCAATACAACATACACCAGAGCAAACTGTTAATTCAGTTGCCAAAGTTGTGGACATTTAAGAACAAAGGAAGCCAGCACTGAGGAAAGATTTTCACCACCGAAAATGAAATCTGTATCGTCTTACAACTAAATTTACTGAAAAGGTTCTGCCAATTTAGAATATATGTGATGAGAAGAAAGGAGAATGTACCTTTTCATTAGTATAGTCATTGGTATATAAGGTTTGACCATGTTCATCCAATTCTTCTGACCAACCTTTTGGAGGAGAACCATACTGACTATCTGACTGGCTGTAACAAGAACTGTGGTCGTTTTCTTCAGATGAAAGCAGCTACAAGTAGTCAGAAACATACAAGCAAGTTTTAAGAATGAATATAGTTCAAAATCTGAAAGAGATCAAAGTTTACTTGGATAGAAATAGGTTTTAAAAAGTAGAAATAATTCGAAGGGTGATTCCAGTTTTATTTAATACCATTAAGTCAGAAAATAAATACATCTTTAGTGTTTAGAAACTTGTCTGGTTATCACTAACTAGTTTAAAGACTTTGAATTTGAAAGAGCTAGATGACATTATAGAACAATGTATTTCCTGACATCAAATATCCACTCACCAAATTATTTTGGCACGTGTCACGTAACAAAGCAGCTTCAATTTAATTCATTTTCTCAAGGTTCCTGGTCAGTAACGGCACCTGAATTTTATTAATATACTACTATTTGACATTACTGGGCTGATCCAGTGGTTTAACTGCTAGCAATCCATACAGTCTTGCATAAGACCTAGGGGGAGCAGATACCAGCTATTTATATCAAAAGCTTATTCCGAAACTCAATGTACCAAACCCCAGGAATAACCTGAAGCCCCAGCTGTACCTGCTCTAGGTCCCAGAACCCTCTCATTGAACAGATGTGCACATGCAATGGAACCTACAGTGCTTCAAGTTTCCACTGGCATTTCCTGCCCTCTCCCCGCAACTCTGTTGCATACATAGTGAAAAATTGAAAGAGTAGGTGCTATGCCAGGAGCAGCCAGACAACTGAGCACCAGTATCTTTAAAATATAAGAAAAGGATCATTATGTGTAGGAGAGGTAAAGAAGAGAGGCTTTGGGAGGTGGATGATCAGGACATTCAGGGCATGTGGAAGAAAATTTGAGCAGGCATCTCTAACTTGATATGTCTCCTCCATTTTTTATCCATATGATAGGGTAGTCCCAAAGACAGATGTGCCATACACCAAAAACTCCAGCATCCATCTTAACTATAGATTCCCTTTTAGATTCTCTAGCTGTCATGGCTGGTAGCAGTTCGGACTGCTTCACTATTCATAGGAGGGGGCACATCTAGGGTTGCCAGGTGTCTGGTTTTCGACTGGAACGCCCGGTCGAAAAGGGACTGTGGCAGCTGCAGTTAGCACCGCTGATTGGGCCATTAGAAGTCCGGTCAGCTGTCCTGTGGGTCTAAGGCAGGCTAGTCCCTAGCTGTCCTGGCACTGTGCTGCACCCCGGAAGTGGCCAGCAAGTCCGGCTCCTAGGCGGCAGAACCACGGGGCTCTGCACACTGTCCCCGCCCCAAGCATCGGCTCTGCACTCCCATTGGCTGGGAACTGTGGCCAATGGGAACTGAGGGGGCAGTGCCTGGGGCAAGGGCAGTGCCTGGGGACAAGAGCAGCGCACGGAGCCTCCTGGCCCCCTCTCCTCCCCTGGCCTAGAAGCTGGACCTGCTGGCCGCTTCCAGGTGCAGCGAAGAGCCAGGACAGGCAGTGATTGCCTGACTTAACCCCATTGCGCCGCTGACTGGGAGCTGCCCAAGGTAAGCCTGTGCCCCATCCCCCTTCCCCAGCACTGAGCCCCGCCCCTCCCAACCCAGAGCACCCTCCTAACCCTCCAAACCCCTCATCCCCAGGACCATCCCAGAGCCTGCACCCCCAGTTAGAGCTCTCAGCGCCCCCCAACCTCCTGCCCCAGCCCAGAGCCCCCTCCCACACTCTGAATCCCTCATCCCCAGCCCAGAGCCCGCACCCCTTCCTGCACCGTAATGCCCTGCCTCAACCTGCAGCCCCCTCCCGCACTCTGAAACCCTTGGCCCCAGCCCAGAGCCCCCTCCTACACCCCAAATCCCTCATCCCCAGCCCCACCCCAGAGCCTGCACTCCCACCAGGAGCCCCCTCCTGCACACCTCATTTCTGGCCCCACCCCAGAGACTGCACCCCCAGTTAGAGACCGCACCCCCTCCCACACCCCAATCCTCTGCCCCAGCCTGGTGAAAGTGAGTGAGGTTGGGGGAGAGTGAGCCACTAAGGGAGGGGGAATGTATTGAGCAGGGGGCGCAGCCTCGGGGTGGGCTAGGGTGTTCGGTTTTGTGCGATTAGAAAGTTGGCAACCATAGGCACATCATGTTACTCAACAACCCTGACAGTTAACACATAGCCACAATGGGCTCTAAAGGGAATAGCTCCTCTGCTAGAAAGATGGGGCCATGATACAAGGTTTTGAGAGTGGGAAATCTGAAAAGCAGGAGGAAAATGGCAGATCTTCAGCTTTTGTAGCAATACAAAACAAGAAATTGGTTTCCTAGTATTTATATCTTTTAAAACAATACTAATAATGTTGGTTCACCTGAATTTTGTTATACCCAAAAGACCTATTTAGTTTCTTGGAGAGGGAGGCCACAGTGACTTTTCCTAAACAAGCATATCTATTTCTGCTGCACAGCTTCTCTCCTCATTCCATTTCTCATGGGCTAATGCCTCCCACCTGTGGAATTTGGAAGCAGCCCAATGTTGTTGCTGGAGGCTCCAGAACTAGGCTCTGTCCTTCAACTTCAAGCCACCAGATTCTCTGCCTTTGGCAGTGGAACAAGTTGGTAGTTCAATTTCTCCCAACCATTGTGTTTCAAAATCTTACATTTCAACTACACAAAAGTGAATAAAAATAATCCCCCTCCCCACCCTGGGTCGGGTACATGGCGGTGTGGTGGTTTCAACCACCTGGATCTGCCACTGCAGTGCCTCCCTGCCAGACTCCTCTGTCCCCATTAAGGTATGGCAGAGCTGTCCTGCAAACACCTGGATTAAATCTGTGTTCCCTACATGAGGCAGCACTCAGGCTCTACAGAGGGTGAATTATGGCTAAAAAAGCATATCTATTTCCTTCTATGAAGTTTTTCTTTGATGTGTGTGTGTACCCCAAAAGGAAGTACAAGACTAATGTATAATTTACATGAAATGGCCTCAGTATTTGCATGAGCTAGCTTCCCAAGTCGACCAAAATAGATGAGCCCTCTACAGAGTCACCTTCTGGATGCTAAAAAACAAAGCATGAAAAACCTGTCGATTATAAAGGATGCCCACTTCAAAAGAGAAAAGACCCATACATCACCCATAAACTTAACATAACATTACTTATGTGCGGAGTTTGATGTGGGAGTTTGTAAATCACTTAAGGCTGAAAAGCCTTCGGGTATGTTCTGTCTGTCAGTTATAGTCCATCCTTGGTTCTGAATATCAAGAGCTGCACTGAAGAGATCTTGACAGTTAAGAAATACTAGTGATTGGCCCAACCTGATAAAGCTTTAAATATACTGGTATCAGTAGAACCAAAATAGAGGACTGAGCGCTCTTTGGACTTTTCAGATAACAGTCTGTCTTTGCAAATAATTTAGTGCATCTATATTCTGCTCCTGCCAAGCAGTCACTACTACCACTATGGCACTGCAGAAATACCATACAGTTAAATCCCAGTAGAATACCTGTGAATGGAAGAACTCTGCTAGAACAAAATCTCATCTACTCTACTATACAAAGTCTGCCCTCAAGTTACATTCCAGTTAGGCACAACTGCAACTATATAAAAGTTATCATCCTTGAGGATCACAGAGGCAAACAAATCTCAACTGGAATACCTTCTTCACACGTATCATGCAAAATCTTACACATGACAAAGGAATTTAGGTGGTATAGGTCTAAACTTTAATGCAATTCCTGTTTTGTGATTAGAAAAATAAATCAAGTGAAGACATTTTATATTCTTTATCTGGCAGAAGCAGTTGAAGAAGAAGTTTAAGCAAGTCTAAGCCCAGAACTGTACAAGAGACCTCCAATTCCAGGAATAACTAGGCTTCATGAGAACCCACCTCTCCCTCCAGCTCTGTGGGCTTGGAGAAAGGAAGAGAGAAACTGCAGGGAGGAGCCAGACAGACACTTAAAGACAGCTGCAGAAGCACTTGAAGCAGGAGCTATGAAACAATAATGATAGACGGCTTTCTCCAGTTTTCAGTCTGAATATTCTCATATTCTCTCTCCGATGCTGACTGGCTGTTTGCTACAAACACTCCTGTGTGCTCCCTCAGTCTCTTCACCGCAACCCCACTCCATCTGCCTTCCATGCCCCCCTCCTTCCTTCCTGCCTTACATCCTTACCCTCCTCTCTTCTTGTGTTTGTCTTTTTAGCTATTCCCCTTACTAAACTGGAGCTACAAAATTAAAAACATTGTACCACCAACCTCCATCCCACACAAAACTAATGGCGCTAACATAACAATTGCAAAGCAGTCTCTTTCCTTTCATCTTCTTTGTCTATTTAGACTATAACTTCTATTTGTACAACGCTCAATGGTATCCTGTTCTCAGTTGGCTCCAAGCCACTGTTCTAATACAAATAAATACCATAGTGAAATAACCTTGTGAAAGAATGAACGGCTTATTCAGTTTGTTCAATAATTGTTACAATTATACAACTGTTTTGCTTATACCAAAGGACTCACTGGATAATTAGAGATCAAACTTAAAAAGGGGGGAAAAAAATCAAATGTTTGGTATCAAACCAATTACATTTTGGTAGGAAAGGTAGTTTTGAACCAATCTCACTTTCCTACCAACTACCTTTAGAAGGTTCACTCACTTCTAGAATCGTATGCTTTCAAGTCATAGCTATTCCCTTAACACAGAATTACAGGTGTTCTTAAAAACTGAAGAGAAACATACAAGTCACCTTCTCTATTCCAGTTTCTCTCTCAAAATTAGAAGTTGCATAGGCCAATTTTTTAACATTCCTGACGACATAAAATTTCCTTTCAATATTCTTTTTGTGGTTCTCAACTCTATTCAAGATCAGTGGTAAAGAGCCTGTAGTTGACATTCAACAAACCATTTTTGTAGTAGTTCTTGTTATTATGCACTATGAAAGATTCCATCTGTTCTTATAGAACTACCACAAACTCCCAGAAAAAATATCCATAAAAAGGGTGCTACTGCAGACACACGAAGTTCTGGATTCTTTCACTATTTTTCCACTTACTGTTTATCTTCCCTATCTCCATCATCCTTCTCTTG